AGCTCGGACTTTTAAGAGGGGGAGTGTGTTACATCTTCGACTCACACGGGTCCTACCGGACCCGACTTAGGGCCGGAGGGACACACCAGGGCCTAAAGGCCCGACCTTTGGGGTTTACAGGCCCTAAAGGCCTGATTTTGGACTATGACCCATCGAGTAGGCCCAAACGACACTTCGTTTGGGTCTGGCGGCGCTCTTGAAGCTGCCGCCCGCCGATTGAGGCTGAACCGTCCATCTGGACGGTTCAGGGTCTGCCCTGGCCTTGCAGCATTGAGGCTAGACCATTGCCCACCGGTATAAGTACCGGTATCCGCCTCAATAGTGGGATCGGCCTACCGGAACTCTACCGGCACGGCATGGTCAGTGCTAGTGCACTGTTTGATGCGCTAAACTTAGCGCAGGGGCTGAAGCAGGAGCGCAGCATACTGCAGCAGCGAGCGGAGCAGCAGCGGGCGACTGAGCTTGCACGGCGGTTATTACCGCCTGAGGTATCGGGAGCTTGGAGGGTCTCTCCTCCTCTCCCTCGCCAGTCCCCTCTCTCTCTCTCTCCTCTTCCTCCTTCATCTTCTTCTTCTTCTTCTTCTTCTTCTTCTTCTTCTTCTTCTTCTTCAGATTGGAGACTATCCAGTTGGACAGAGATCAGAATTGGATTTCGGTGATACGAGACTGTGGTACTTACCTGATTGGAGACTTGGAGATTGTTGAGGTTGATACTCGGCTGCATCACAGTTGGACACCGGTTACATCTGGACTCTGTTATCTCCGACATTGGTGACCTTTGGTCCTCGACATTTTGATCTTGTTATATGACATTCTGGGCTACCATTTCGAAGACCTATCAGACTCTATCTTTGTGACCTATCGGTGTGATCTACCTCCCACCTCCTTCGTCTCTCCTCCCACCTTTCATATGTGTATGTGTGTACGGGATCTGGGTATCGTCTATGAATGACCCAGACCCCACCATCTCATGATTGTATGTGTGTGGAGTGATGCCATGTAAGTCAGTTGGTGTGAGTCGGTCTATGTGAGTCATTTCGTTATCAGACTTCCGCTGCATAAATGCTCATCCTATATTGGTTGATCTTTGGTTCTGCCATACTCATTGAAGTATGTAACAGTCCCAGTCCTGTCGTAATCCCACGAGTCAGTCCTGATTCAGACCAGGAGTCCAAAAGACAGGCCCGATGGCCCAAAGCAGCAGTAGACCATGGGAAAAGATACAGGGACACACACTTTGCAACAACCGGTACTGGGCAGGAGTCCCAGGCACACTTGAGGCTGAATGCAGGCCACGGCAGACCAGTCCAGCACTATAAAGGGCTGGCCAGCCTCCCATTTGACAGATGCTCACTTGGCATGAGAGTGTGGAAGTGCCGTGGCACTTGTGCGCTAGATGTGTGTGAGCTGCGCTAGGCTAAAGAGCAGCTCTATGTGAGAAGGAAGAGAGTGCTGGCTAGAGGGAAGGCAGCCATAGCTGCGCCAGCGCTAGTTAGTATGTTAGTAGGGATAGTCAGTAAGAGATACCAGTGAGTAGTATTCAKAGTAGATCCTCRTGTGCYAGGGAGTGTGCATGCATGATGAGCGAGAKAAGACCAGGACTRTAGACCAGGAGGGAGAGAGAGAAGAAATCAGAYGRGAGAGGGGGAGSTGTGAGCTATGGTGACACTTACCTATTGAGCGCTGTTGTTGATGTTCGGCAGYKGGTGYTGATGAGCGCCAGGCCTGGGAACTCRTGTTGATTAGAGAAGACTTGTAACTCTGTTTGGCGCTGTAAATTTGGACTCACGATGTACCCTCTTTACTCTGGGTTTGATAATTAATTGAGTTGAGCTTCCTGGTTCTCATTCATCTTCTATTGGGCTTTGTGTGAGACTTTGCAATCAGTGAAACCTGTGAATATGCATGTGATATGATGCACTCCAGCAAGTGATGAACAGTCGGGTTCCTTGCAAATTTGGTATCGGAGCAGAATTTGTTACTTTCACTGGACGCGCTGGCATGATCAAGGCCGGTGAAAAGGATAAGATGGCTTGAGTATGGTTTGCGAGAGATGAAGCAAGAGATGAAGCAAGAGATGAAGTAAGAGGTGTTGGATTGGGATAGAGGGGGAAGTTTGCCGAAGAAGAAGGGGCTAGTGAGGAAAAGACTTACCTGCGATTGGAGCGATTGGAGCGAACGTGGAGTCTCCATCAACGGCTACAAAGAAGAAAAGAACCTCCTGCCCCACTTACCTCGATTGATTGCAAATTTGTGTGTTGTGTATTTCTTCCCCCTCCTTCCTGGTGGTCGCTGCTGCTGTCTGGACGAAACCTGTGCCCTGGTCTGATCTGACAGATAGGACTAGAGAGTCAACATCTGGTCTTCGTGTTAGCCATTTGGTCTATCGATAGGTAGGGAAGGAAGGTTGAGTCAGGGAACTGTGTAAGTGGCTGAGAACAGGGAAACTCGTGATCATTTGGATTTGTTTTTGAAGTAAGTTTGAGTAGCTACCTTCTCTAACGAAAGTGACCTGACAGACAATTGAAGGCATAGCTCAGCTAAGAAACTAAACAGGCAGCAAGTAAAAAAAAAAAAAAAAGAGTTCCTACTTTGTATATTGATTAGGAAAACGTTATATATCTTCTGCATTATCAAATTTCGTTATTATGAAGCAGCAGCATCCATATTTAAAAAAAAAAAAAAGTTTCAGATCCCATCCACTTAAGTAGACTAGGATCCGGGATAGCTACTTGGTGGTCCGGCGGAAGTCTCCCCTGTGTTGTTCGCCACCATGGATGTCTATCCCATGTACGGGATGTTGGCTCTGTCTGTTCTGTTGGGGTCATTATTACGTTTCTTTTTCCCTCTCGGCTTTGGGAGAGTGTGTTCTTCCCGCGTGATGATGAGATCCGGAACAGCAAAACCCGGACTATCAGCGGCAGAGCAGGCAGAAGTTGACCGCCGCTTAGCCGAGAAAAAGAAAGAAAAAGAACAGAAAAAGAAACAGAAAGAAGAAGAGGAAAAAAACTCACATGGAAGAAGAAAAAATTAAAAAGGAGTTGAAAGAAAAGATGGAGAAAAAATTGCAGGAAGATTTGAAGACTATAAAGGAAGAAGAAGAACCAGAGGATGAAGGAGGAAGACTTATCAGACATAGGACTGAAAGGGGCGAAATCAGGCGTACAGGTGGAATGAATATACAGGTTAGTCCCTTAAATTGGTATGACCAGTAAAGCTATTTTAGCTAAAGGATTGAAGAGACGGAAGAAAAACGGCACACGTTCATCGCAAAAACGACATCTATTGAAAATAAAAAGGAAAAGGAACTCTTGCTGGAGGAAAAACGAACTGAATTGCACTGCAAAATGTTGGTTGCAAAGCGACAAGAATTGGAAGACAGAAAAAGACTGCAGGTAGAGGGAGAAAGGTTGCAAAGATAATTACAGGCGCAGAAAGAAAAACAAACAGCAACCGAAAAACAACTTTCCCTCTTAACAACAATTGTTCTCCATACAAAGCAAGAGCTAGCAGCAATGAACAAGACCTTGCCTAATGTTGAAGCCCATCAGTATGGGTTTGAGGGAGTCCGGAATACCTTCTTACAAAGGTCTGCAGCAGAAGTTGACCAACATGTACAAGCATACATTGTAAAACTAGATGAGCAGATTAAMAAGACTTTGACCCCCGCCGTAATTGAGAAATTAGTAAGTAACGGTGGAGGAGATAGAGAAGATGGAGGAGATGGAGGAGATGGAAATGGTGATGGAGACGGAGACAAGAAGAAGAAGGGTGTGCTGCAAGAATATGTTGAAGAAGTTAGAAAGATTAAAGTAAAAGTGCTATGGACATACACCGACAAAAAGAAAGAAAGTGTTTTATATTGGATTGTTGCGGTTGAGTCCAATTCGTGTATGGCCGGAGATGCAATGAGTTTTGCAATCTCCCTGCAAAAGGAAGCTAATTGTCGGTCTATGGTAAAGTATTCCCAGCAGACCCACATTGAAGACTTCTTTAAAGCAGTCCGGAAACGATTTGAAGATAAAAACTTAGCTCGGAGAACTGAAATGTTAATCCTGAATATCGCAGATAGGAAATGAAAAATTGTTTCCGCACTTAAATCTACCATGGACGAACTTCTGCAATGCGCTGAGC